TTTTTTTTGCTGGAAAGCCTAGTTTGAGATATGGATTTCTTCAAGAAGTGGGTTTATCTTTTGTTATGAGAGCTTAATTTTGCTGACTGTTGTGTTTCTCTCTTTCAACAATTGGGTGGTAATGCTACTTGATTCCAGAATGCTGTAGGATCTAATGATTGCCCCGCAAAGTAGTTTGATAGTTGAGTCGGCTATGTTTTATTGGTTATATCTATGTTTAAGAAATTAGTGAATATTTTTTGCAGTGTCTTGATCATTTTTTTTTATCTGCAGCTATTTCAGGTATTGTGGCATACAACAATCACAAGTTGAAAAATGAAGCATCTGAGATAAAATCAGTGGTTAATGTTGACACTGATGATCAAGGAAAATCCCAAGATGATCAGGCAGCCTTGATCCCGCTAAAGGAAAATACATAAAGGTGATTTCCATGATTTCTGGGGTGAGACTAGAAATCAGATGATGGATCACTTTCTGCTTTGTCTTATATTCGATAGAATTCTCAGAAATGGGAATATGCTTATTTTGACTGTAAAACAGGACAAATAATAGTTTATCAGTGAGAAGCCGTCTTAGTTCAACAGCTCTTTTCCATGGTCAAATATTTTGGAATTGTTTCATGGCATGATCGTTAAGAACTTGAAAGTTTGGCACTCTGGTATAAGTTGGTGACGGTGTGACAAGCAAGTAGCCAAAATTAAGATATCATTGCCTCCAGATTCTGATTGCAGTTTTAAGACTGGTGGGTTTGCGTGTACATGTATGATATAAACTTACATTAGAGTTGTTTCCCCACCTCCAGCTGAACAGTTTATTCTTAATTAAATTCTTTTGTTCCATGTTGTTCCAGGATCAATTGCTTGTGTTCAACAGGTTTGGACAGTTGAAATTGGATTGGCTTGATTTTTAGTATTCCTAAGTTTTTTTAAGGGGAATTAATCAGAACTAACACAAATTGCTGGCATGCTACTGATGCTGCCATGTTTGAGGATATCATTCCATCGTTTTATTTCTTCTTCGTTATAAAAATTTAATATAATAAAAATAAGAGGAGAATCACTTTTTGACCACTAACATCAACACTAATCTACTTCAATAGATTTTGATGGCTCATGTTGAAAAATCTTAAGTAATCCTTTGATCTCGTTCTTCGTGCAAGTGAAACTGTATTCACTTTGAAGGTACCTTAAGTAATCCTTTGCACATGGGCCCGAACAATATCGAGTTGATCAAGATATCAATAACTTCTTCTCGTAATATTATTTTAGTGATAGAAGAATGAGTCGATATCATATAAGCGTTCATCTATTGACCCTCTCAATGAACGCTCGAGCAAAGCTCCTGACTCATAATACTTTTACCTGGTGGGCAACAACCACTCTTTTCGCATATGAGCACATCCATCTCGATGCAGATACTAATACAATACTGACATCTATTCAATGACCCGGGTCTCTTACCCTCAAGAATGATCTCAAGCCACCTGCTTGTTCTTATCGAGATGTTTTTAAATCTCACTTGATAAGTGCAAATGCTAACAAGTACGATATAGGTCGTTGTTTCGCTTTTGTCCTAGTTAACCCAATAGGTAGTGCCACTAGCTCAATCATCATCACCGACTCTAGTGCAATCGGTATTGACACCTATCGAGGTTTCTCAACCCGACGTGGTGTCGACATCCTAGAAGTGCCCGAGACTCATTAAACTATCAGTCGTGAGGGCACTTCAATCCCTAATCGTAGAATTCAATGGATTGTAGCACTACTCTACCCTACCTTAATCCGAGGCCCACTTGACAGAGTTGATAGAGGATTTCCTATAGATCTAACTATGACTGATGGATCGACGTTTGGAAGAGATGCAATGAGAGTTCCAATAATCAAAAGATGAAGCACTAGTCAACCCCACCTCAGGTCGATCATCATTCACTTGGAAAATCCAAGAAGAATCGATTCTAATAAACTTTCACCTCTCATCCTTAGAGGCATTTGATGGTAATGCTGACCTGATAGAGCATATTATAGATTTTCATGCCTAAATAACATTGTACGATACTTGAGATACTTTGATGTGCCGCACCTTCCTGACCACGTTAAAAGGCCCAATACGAGAATGGTATACCCGTCTAAGTCGTTATAAAAAAATATTTTCAAGATATACTTGTTGCAAGATATATAGGTGTTTCAGGAAAGAAAGTTTCGATTAAGTCTCTACATGTTAATGTTTGGCACTCAACATCTTTATAAAAACTTTAACAAAAAATGTTTCATTTAATTATAGGCAAAATGATAATTATTCCAAGATAGATGGCAAAATTAAATGAGAATTGAGCTCATTCATATTCTTGACCCAACTCATCAAGCTCTGTTTCCAACCCGAACCCATGTAGCTTCGACAGCTCTGTCAACCCTTCCAACACCCAGTAGATCTTCCATGTCTGCGAATGTCGTGTGTCTGACGACAAGAACTCGACCACTTCAGAGTCCACTTCGATGGAGCTACCTCCCGGTGTCTTCTCTGTGCTCTGCTCCCTCGCAATCCGCTTCATCCTCGCAACATCCTTCCATCTCCCCGCAGCTCCGTATATGTTCGAGAGCACGACGTAATTCGCAGCATCTCCTGGCGCAAGCCTCGCCAGCCGATCCATGGCGAGCTCGGCCACGGCGACGTCCCTGTGAACCTGGCACGCACCGAGCAGGGCATTCCAGATAACGCAGTCCGGTTCCACCGGCATCCTCCTGATGAACTCCACTGCCTCGGTGAGCAGCCCTGCTCGGCTGAGAAGGTCCACCATGCACCCGTAGTGCTCCATCCATGGAACAAGCTTGTAGTCCTCGGACATCGACCAGAAGTGCATCAGCCCGTCATCGACCAGGCCGATGTGCACACAGGCGGACAGTGCTCCGACGAATGTGATGCCGTCCGGTCTCTCCCCGACGCGCTTCATCTGATGGAACAGCTGCAGTGCATCCGCTCCTCGTCCGTGCATCGCCAACCCTGCGATCATGGAGTTCCAAGTTACCAGGTCCTTCCTCTGCATGGCATCGAACACGTCCACGGCGTCGTCGATGCAGCCGCACTTTGCGTACATGTCGATGAGTCCATTGCTGACGCAAACACTGGTGTTCAACCCGTTGGCCTTGGCGTAAACATGAATCCGTCTTCCCCGGTGGAGCGCCCCCAGTTTCGAGCACGCCGACAGAACAGTCGCAAGAGTGGCTTCGTTGGGCTTGACGTCGTGCGCCCGAAGAATGCGGTCGAAAACCTCCAAGACCTTGTGGTACTGGGCGTGGTGAGCGTATCCTCCGATGAGCCCGTTCCACGAGAACACATTTCTTTCAGGCATCTCCTTGAAGATACGCTCGCAGGTGTCGAGGTCTCCGGCGTCGGCGTAACCGAGTAAGATGTTGTTCCAAACAATGACGTCCCGATCTGGCATGGAAGCAAAGAGCTCCGTGGCCGCGGCCATGTCCCCGCGCCTCGTGTATCCCGAGATGATGGTGTTCCAGAGGACCACATCGCGGTCCGTGCTCTGATCGAAGAGGCTTCTGGCGGAACCGAGATCACCGTTCGAGAGGTAGGCCGCGACGATGGCGGTCCATGCGACCACGTTCTTCGCTGGCATCGAGGAGAACACCTTCCGCGCCCAGCCGATCGCTCCTACGCTCGAATACATGTCGATCAACGCGGGAACCGCGAAGTCATTCCCTTCGAACCCACTCTTGATCGCCAGGCCGTGCGCTTGCTCGCCCTCCTCCGTCGCACGGACCGCGGTGCAGGACTTGATGACGAGCGGGAACGTGTACCGGTTCGGCCGCACGTCCCTCCTCCTCATCCGGCGAAACAAGGCCATCGTGTCTCTGTGAAGCCCGGCCCCATTGTATCCTTTGAACATCACGTTGTGGAGGACGGTCTTTGGCTGGGAAATTTGGTCGAACGCCTGGCGTGCGAGCTTGGGGTTTCCACATCGGAAGGAGGCGGCGACAACTCGGGGGGCAAGGAAGGGGTTATGGTGGAGGCCATGGACGACGACATGAGCCTGGATCTGGAGGAGCAGCTGCGGCCTTCTGCATGTCTCCAAGAGAGAGACGAGGCGTTCTTCGATGAGCCTGTGAGAGGGGGTTGGAGGAAACTTGCCTATTTTCTCGGAGGAGCGGTCAATATATTTGGGTTGGGCGGTGGGAAACAGAGACGAAGGTCGTTAATGTCTTAGTCTCGTGCGTTCGCTGCCTTCATCCCATTCATCCTGGATGTATATAGGCTTCGCTTCGGTATGCATACACAGAGGGGCAATAACGGTATACATTCACCCTATAGTACGTACAAGACTACATGTCACCACATGGATTAAGTCATATTTTACCACATTGGTTACTTCTAATTGATCACATGAGTTGGATCATATCTAATCACATAGATTAATTGTACATAGTCTCATGAGTTAGGTCGTACATAAAAATCACTTTAATTTAACTCAAGTCAGACCCTAATTAGAATCATCTTATCAAATTATATTTTAAAAATTATATTATTATTATTATTATTATTATTATTATTATTATTATTATTATATGTACGCTAAACTTAAATTTTGAGGAAGTAGAGTATATTTTATATGGCAGGAAACACAATTTATTTCTAATTAATTTATTTTAGATGCATAAATGAATCAAATTGTCCCTTTGTTGGGCCAACTTAGTTTGCCTCCATCTCGTTGGATCATTGATCTCCTACAAATACTGGTATAAAACGGCTTAATCAGATATAATTTTGTGGAAGCAGTTGTAATTCTCTCTCTCTCTCAAAGGCTTCCTAATTTTCTTTGAGTTCTAGTTTTTAAGTCATTCAATTCAAGACTTGAAGAAAGCTTGAAAGTTCACAGAAAAGGATTAAGATTACAACTTGGAAGAGAAAATAAACTCTACCAATCGGTTGTTTTAGATTTGCATAGTAATTATGCAGCACTTGAACTATACAAATAACTTCTTTTCTCTTCTCTTTGCAGAAAAAATACTATGTATATTGGCTCAGCTCTTCGTGCTGGCACAACACTTGAATTCATGCAAGACCCTAACAAGTTTATGAAGCAAACCTTTCATCAAGGCGAAGGAAATCAATAGACATGGGAAATACAATCAGATCACAGGTTGAGTTTGGATTTGTAAAGCACTCACACGAGCCATTTATATACAATCCTATAACAGACGTGCCATGAAAGCTTTTACTAGTAAATCCAAGAGAGACATACACTTCTTCTTCTTCTTTTTCCCTTATTCTTTGTTCTAAGGAACCTCATAAGCCCCCAAGCCTCCTCAGCAGATGCCAACTGGATTTTCTTTGCCCTTGATTTCATCCTCGGGCTGAAGTGGTTCATCAAGTCCTTTGGACATCTGATGGTCCCAGAACTTCTTCTTGGCCCATGCGATGGCTTCGTCTATGGCGGCAGCTCCCTCTTTCCCTCCCATGCCATGCCCATTGATCTCTATCACATACGAGCTCTCTGCTGCTTCTCTATGCCCTTCCACTCCTCTGTCTGCTTTGGATAACACCGGGTCGAGGAAGACAGAAGATATCACAGAGGAGGGGGAATCTGCATCTGAATTGTCGCACCCCGTAGGCTCATCTTGGCTGCGACGGAAGCTGGCTTCGAGGCTGATGGTCTCCGGTGGCGAGAAGCAGCAGGAGAAGCTGATATGAGACCTCTGTCGAAGTAGCTCGCTTGAGCTGTGGTCTCTCTTCTTACAGTCTCTAGAATCCAGGTATGGATCTCTAGAATCCAGGTATGGATCCATGCCAGGAGTCCTGTGGCTGTTCCATTCCTCTCTGGAATTTGTCGACGGGGAAGAAACATACCGCCTGGATGGGATCGTGATTGGCCTGAAGCACAGCATAATTCACCAAAACATCAGAAAGAATGTTTCAGACAACTTCAATGGGTTCAAACTCCAGGACCAACAGAGCACCAAAGGCAATTGAGTACGGTAAAGTTCATCTGCTTGCACTTGCTACATGAGATCACTCTTTTGGGTTCCAACTCTAGAAAGAAAACCACTGCTTGCATAACATCATTAAGCGTGGAAGGTCATGATTTCATTCATCTGTAAAGTGTAATAACCATGATGATGTTGTTCTTGATAATGCTTACTGAGTGAGCTTTTACTTTTCCAGCAAACATAGAGCAAAAGATAATGCATTTCCATCATTGGTAACAGTTAACGATGAAGTACTTATCTTGTTATTCAGAATCTATATTCTTTCAATGTGATGTTAGAAAATGTTTAGGTATGATAAATTTCGAATGCGCTCCCCTGCAAGCTATCTAGTTTGGTGGCATTGTGCGTCCGTAACAGTAATGGGTGCACTCACTGACATCATGACATGGCATCATTCTCCAAAGATCACAGAAATGAAAATTTTAGGATAAATATAAAATAATTTGATGCATATATCCCCAATGATAATAAAAACTTTAAAGTACAGAAATTTTCAAAATTACATTGAGGCAACTTCCTTAATGAAATGTTTTTCATGTATAATCCTTTAAGATCAAGATATCATATATACATATGCCCATTAACTAGAGTCAACAATTAAGGCCATATAAAACATAAAATGATTGAACCTTGTAGTTTACCATGAATTTACTCTTTCTTAAGTCTAAATGATTAAGATACAAGCCATCAAAACAGCCTCTTAATTCAATTTACAACGATAAGACTATGTATAGCACTAAGTTATCCTCTTTATTCCTATCCATCCCACACTATCATCAGCCACCTACTCGACAAAATGTAAGGGCCTAATTCGAAATTTATGTTATGATTTGCTAATATTTAAACGGATCCTAAATGCCTATTATCCTCAATTAGAAGGGAATTTTTGGTAGTTCATTAATTTCACAAAAAATGTAAACCATTTGTAGTTTCATTGGTTATTCAAGAAATTACATGTAGGTCATTTGAAAGATATGTGATTTGGCCTTTCCTTGAAGAAAAAATATCTATTTTTTGATATATTTTCGTTTATTTTTCACCAAAATTTTCATTTGCATGTATTGGGTTATTATACATGAAAAAGATGTGAAAAAAAGAAAAAAGAAGTATTAAAAAAAAAGACCCAAAAAAAATTATCATTATTTTCTTTTCTTTGGGTTCCTTTTTTTTTTTTTTTTTGTTTCTAATTTGGTCTATCTCTACAACAAGGGGTTGAGATTGAACGGTACCTGAGCTTAGAAGCGAAGGAAGAGAGCACGGCGTCCTCCGCCATCGACGGCGCCATCCGGATGGGAGGGCTCATGTCCTCAGAGCTCAGGACCGAAGATGACGACTTGGACCTCGACTTCCGACCTCGGCCGCCTCCCTCCGACCCAAATATGTCGTCGTAGAACCCCTCCTCCGTCCTCACCAGCCCTGCCCACGGCAGCGCCCCGAACGCCGGCACGCCCCGCCCGGCCGCCGCCCGCGGGATCCCTCGCGGCCGCTCCGCCGGACGGAAGAGCTCGTCGTAGAAGGAAACCGGCCGGGGATCGGCCGGCGCATGGAGCTCGCCCGAGAAGCGGCGGAGCAGGACGGTCCGCGGCGGACCACCGAAGACGTCGCGGAAGTCGTCGGGGCCCAGGGGGGCGCCATCGCCGGCTCCGGAATCACCCCAGCGGCCCCGCCGCCCCCTCGCCTCCTCGGTGGAGCGCCGGCGGGGTAGAATGGATCCGATGGAGACCCGCCACGATTCGTCCATGTCGCCGCGAGATCGCTCGGTTGGTATTCGACGCGGGCGGTGGGCGAGCATTTATGCACGGAGAAAGAATGGCGTTGCGAAGACGATCGCTGTGTTTCACACATCAGCAAACAGCGAAATCGAGCCACTCAGGAAGATGACCAGCTGGGGCCCGGTCGTTTGCTGTTTCGTCTTCAGTGCGTCCAATCCACGAGTCGAGTGAGCTCGAGTCCGACGACCAAGCACAGAGTGAGTTGACATAACCATGTACTCCTCGTAAGGCAGAAGCGTCAAGCGGTGTGTCAGGACGTGTCTCGTCGTTGACCAATTGACCTCTATTGTTAATTATCTCGTCAGCTGAGCACCGACGAATCTCTCCTTCCCTTCGACAACAAACATATACTTAAATCAACGAATTACAAGGACACGATCAACAGAAAGCTCTAAATGAGCTGTCCAAAGGAGACAGCCAAGGCATGTTGCAGCTGAAGCAAAGCAACAAAGGGAAGGAGGATGTCAAAGAGGACGGATGCCTAGCTGCAGGTAGACATGACATGATGGAGGTTGATGGACTCACTCACCTTTATCACATTAACCCCTACTTTTGCATCGCAACTTTCTCTTCCTTTACAGACAAACAATGATGTGAATCCATATTTAATTAGCCACATGTGTGTCACTTTGTACCCAGCAAACTTCCCTGATTCTAAATGAAGCTGGTTTTGGATTGAGTACATGTGTTACAGACAAGCAGTGTTGGGAACAATGCATTTTCCTGGGTTTAGTTTATGGAATATGAATCGGCACACCTTTGTTTCATGGATCTTATGTTTCCAATCTTGATGAAAGCCAAATCAATGAGTACTCAACATATCAAGTTTACAATTGATTCTCTTCAGAGCTTGCTACTCTTTAGCTTTACACAAGTACTTGGATTCAGCTTTGTCATGACCCTCAATTAAAGCCAGCAATCTCCATCCTGGAGCACTCAGGATCTGCAATCTTAAATTACCCATGCACACACAAGTGCTTGAATCTGAGCTCTTCTGCCAAGATCTGTTTTGATGGCCACCAGTAAATTCCAGACAGTGGATTCGACGGATTGGACTTAAGACTGCATCGCACTTTCCCTGAGGAGCTCCAGCCTGCCATGAGCGGCAGACAGTGAAGGGAGGATTCCATACGTGATGTCTCCAAACTCAGAGCACAGAGTTGCAGTGACAAAAAAAGGGAGATGTGGGCAAAGCATGTCACCAAGCGCATCCGTAATCATTCTGTTTTCGCTTCTCATGGCACTGCAAGCTGCAGGGTGAAGACCAGCCTCCTCCTCTAATGCTGCTGCACCAGTCACTTGATCTCTGGGATTGGAGTCACCGAACGTGCTCACGAGTGATCCTGACTGATGTGTGTCGACCATGAATTCATCGGTGAAAGAAATGGACATGAAAGACTCAAGGGAAGGTGTGGTACAAGTAAAATGCAGTTACTGAGCATTCAACTCGAGTTATGCCGACAGGTTGATCGTGCTTCAACATATCAGCTAGCAAAAGCTGAAACCTCACAAGAAGAACAGACAAGGCAACAGCAAAAGATGAGATGGAAAGAGGTGAAGGGACCAAAGACAGTGAACCTGAAAAGGATACATCACAGGAAGTCTCTTTCGTAACAATTTCTGCACCTTGATTGTCAACCATACATTCTGCTCAGATGCTTGCTGATAACAAATTAACCTGCTTAATCTTTACATGGATGATCCACCTCAGGATCATCATCCTTGCTTCGCCTCCGTGGGTTTTGTGGACCTCCCATCTCATGAATGATGTATTGAGTGAGTCTTGTGGCTGGAGGTGACCTGCGATGGCCTTCTACTGGACCTTGAGACAGGTCAACGAAGGTGGACTTGGATTCACGGGAGAGCGAAAATTGAGATTTGGAGGCGTAACCACGAAGACAATACTACCATTGCATGCATGACTCTGCCCCGACTGGTTCTTCCTCAGCTTATGGACATGGAATCTGAACTGGATAAAAAGAATGCATTCCTTCCCTTTGCATGCTCCGGAAACGGACACATTAGTTCTCCACGTCTATGTGAAGGTCGATCGTCTTCCAGCTTCATCTCCGTCTCTAGAGAGAAGATTGGGTAGCGAATCACATCAAGTTGGTCGAGAAGAAAAAAGTTACTCGAGCTCAGATCAAAGTTCAACAAGAATTACTTCATTAGATGACTCCCAAACTTGGACCTCTGTGTCTGCTCATTCTATTATGTTCTATTTCGATCTCTTTGCTGTGTTTAATAATAGAAGAACTAGTCCTCTCCATCCTCGTCTTCGTGAACTCATTATCACACAAGTGATCGTCCTTGAATCCGTTCCTTGCTTTGTGCCACTCCACAACAAAGAGTTGGACGTCGGCTTCTTCGCGTTTAGGCCCATGCAGTAAATGCTTCTCTTTCCGTGGCAACGTATCTTCTGGATAAACATTATTATAAGTCACTACATCAAATTATACTTTTAGCTACGATTTCTTATTACTACAATTATTTGTTGTAGTGTCTCTATCCTTTACTCCATCAATATAAATGAAGGTTTCTTTTCTTCATTTCAAACTTTCAACCTTTCGGAATGACAAACAGTTTCTCATACGATGAAGCGTAGTCTCTTGAACACATCTCGAGGTTTATTCCAGCATCACTAGTCAATGGACCAACAAGCTTTGGTCCAAAAGTGTGCAAGACTAGCTTTTGGGTTCCATCCAGGCTATGCCAGCTGCAAGAGCATGCATCCTAAGGAGCTCCGACCTTAAATTTCATCTTGACTAAAGGCATCAATCATTGCATTTTTGAAGGAGGCAAAAAAAGCAGTGGCGAAGCAACGACTAAAGTGAACATTTTCTTTTATCACGTAAAAAGCTGCCCAAGCGATTGCTAGATGACTGACTACTGCTCTCTCTGTAGAAGGTCTTCTTCAAACAAATTCCAATGCAAAGTTGGCTTTATGGGCTGAGGGTTCCTTTTAGCCTGGTGGTGGATTTTATTGTATGATTCCTTCTGCGAGCACCGTAATATATGCGAGCAAGCATTATCTTACGGAGATCATAAAGAGGCGGTTCGCGTACCGGCCCGGCTTACGTGTGTCGGCAGAGAGGCCGACCAGGAAAACCCACAGGTGACACGCGATAGATGACGTCACCACCCGCTCTCTGTGCAATGGGGAATCGCTCTTTCCTGGACGGTGTCTCGGACGAGACGTCGAGGATGGTTGGCGAGGGAACCTCAGATCCACATGAGATCTAACGCTAGCAGCCGTCGAGTCATCGTTTCGACCGCCTTGTCCGCTCTTCTCCTTAATGCGGCCGGGAACGCGGCCAGGTTCGTTTCGAAGGATCGCTAGCTTCATTCCTTCTTCCGATATTAATCCCAGGTGGCGCTTGGATGACGACCGAAACCGAAAGGCGCCACGTACTATATTCCTCCCCCTCTCCGTCTCCGACTCCTGTTCTCTTGCCCACCTCTTTCCCTTCTCTCCGTCACTGCCTCTTCGTTTCTCGGGGCGAGATGGCCCGATTCGGTGGATGGATTCGGTTCTTGATGTTGTTCCTTCGAGTTCTCATGGAGAGGCCCGTCCAGAATGAGATCCAGCTCGACTTCTGATCTCAGGTGGGTCGAATTTAACTTTCTGATTTCTTTCTTGCACGTTCCGATCGGTTCCTTCCCTCTGCTTGCCGTGGTTAGAAGTAGAACCGTACCACTGGGTTTGTTGCTTCTTGTATGGGGTCAATTCTACAAGATTCGACGCTTGTAGCTGTCTGTTGAAAAAAGGTGGGAACTTTTTGGTAGGTCAACGGTGAGAGATGGCACGGTTTGGTGGATGGAATCGGTTCTTGATCTTGTTCCTCCGAGTTTTCATGGAGAGGCCCGTCCCGAGTGAAATCCAGCTCGTCTTCTGATGCCAGGTAGGTCGAATTAGGCTTCTTGATGTGTTCTTCCGCATCCGATTGGTTTCCTTGTCTCTCATCGAAGAGGTTCTCGACATCCTGGAATCATTGTTTTGTGGATTAATTCTTCAAGATCCGATTTGTTTTCTCCCTCTGGGACCGAAATAAGTAGTTTTGATGAAGAAAGCTGATAAGTGATCACCGAGCGTGGCTCTTTTGCGAGGGATGCATCGTCTAAAAGTCTAATGTTGTCTCTCCTTTGCAGGTGGAAGACGATGATGTTGAGGGGAAGACGCTGATGCTCCGAAAGAAGCAAGCTTGAAACTGAAGTAGACTCAAGGTTGCGGCCATCAAAGCAAGCAGAGAGATCCGACATGTCATTCTTCTTTTTAGATGTACAAACTGAAGCCACAAACAGGGAAATTATCCATGTGGTTAATTCAATATGCTAGGTTTTTCTTTTTCCTTCTTTTTGGAAGATGCCTATCCTCCTGGAATCCTTTCTACCTCGAGCTCTGTTGAGCAGGACTCTAAAGTTCTGTCTTGATCTATAGCTTGTTTAGGAGGAGCAGATTGAGCCAACCATCTACCCTTATTTTCTGCAAGCTAGTTGATAGATTATGCTGTGTATCAGTTATATTCTTCCAAGCATTCATGTTTTTGAGTAAGCAATATAGTCCTTTTTCTTCTTTTTCTCTTCAAGCTGGCATCTTTCACGATCTGAATTGAATTGTCGCATACCTGGAAAGTAATCATGTCAAGATCCTGGCTTATTCTGTTTTCGGATGTTTGATTACACCTCAAAGAAGATAATTCCAACTCTCACCCCTATTAGAAACAAACAGAATCTGAGTTCTTGTCACAGGTGACTCACACTTCCAGAATGATGCTGTTTGGGGTCAGAATCCTGTTCTCAGGGAATGCCAAGATCCTGAAATGGTTCCACTGATACAAAAACAGTTTCATTTCAGATAGGAGAGGAATTTTGCTTTGCTATGGTTACATGGTTGGTAGTTTTTTTCTTTCTTCAATAGAGAATTTTCAGGAATAGGGAGCCAATGCCAGGTTGAATTATCAATGCACTGTTGACTTGGATGTCATGAACTGACTGTTTGACGGATCTTTTCTGCAAATGTCAATGTCTTAGCACAGTCTGAAGAGGCAAATATTAGAAGGAAAGAGATAAGAATCTCTTTAATGTTAGTGCTGTTTACACAAATGTCAAGAAGACCCATCTGAAATGACAAACACATCACAAATGCCAAGCACACCCCATTTGAAACCAAAAGACTTATCTGTTTACATTTCAACACAGTTGTGCGTTCATTTATTTTTCTTTATCATGATTTTAGCACCTTTTTTTTTTTTTCTTTTATAGGCCGAGACGATCCGAACCAGCTTGTAATAGTCGATCAGCCCTGTTCCATGTCACTCCCTGCAAGCTCTGTGAGATACCCCCCATTGTTTAGCAATATTTCCTGGATTCTTTAACACTAGAACATAAAAGCTTTGCTCGAAAAGAAAAGACCATAATTTTCCAGAAAGTGATCGGCAAACCATCGGCCATGATGCCGAAACCAGAAAAGGTTTTGCTTACAGAATTCATCATGGTAAAATGTTCATGAGTGCACAGGTGAAACACTTTCTGAAAAACTTGGTGCAACTTCTGTGGAACCAACAATTCCCCCCAAAGCTTGCGCGCAAACACTCGAGAACCCCGTTAGAGCCTGGAATACATTTGGGAGGCAGGTCTGCAGATTGTTCAGTGTCATGGCTCGGCTCCTACGAACCGAATCGAGATACTTGGCTTTCTCTTCCTCCACCCTCTTCCTAAAAGCTTCCAGTTTGGCATGCCTAGTTGATGATGGAAGCGTATTCGCCTGAGGATCTTGAAGGGCATGCTCATCATGCTTCTCCAATGTGCGAAGAGAGATCAACTCTTTCTCCAACCTACTCTGGAGTCGATCAGATATCTTCTTCAGGCTGTGCTCTTTGTTATGTTGCAGAATTATAGAGCGAATGACCAATAAAAAGCTCTTAATTGCCTCAGCTGCTACCTGTTGAGATACAGAAAGCAAGAAAAATTGGAAAGTAGAAATGATTTAACAGAGAAAGATTAGTTTAAACTATAAAACAAGCATTCCAATACCACTTCTGATCAACATATGCAACAAGTTAGTTTTCACTTAGTAGGTTTCCAGTACATGCCTGTTTCCTGTACTCAGATGCAACTATTTATTTGCACATATGTCCAGTAAAAGTGTACATCTGAAGCATGCATCCATGAACAGACCTAAACTTTAAACATGCATCTTTATCCTCGTGAAAAGGAAGGTTAAACAATCAGAACATATATGTAACAAGTGGTTCATTAGGACATGCAACAAAATCAAGTAAAAGATCAACCAAGAAACTAAATTTGAAGACATGAATCTGCTACCCTCACCACATCCAAGGTAACTATTACAGAATTCATAGATTGTACCAATAGTCACATTTGATTCATCATCTTATTTCAAGAACTTGGACCGATTTATGCAATCATAAATGTGCAGAGTAAATAACCCATACATGCTGGTAGATGCCAACTGCAACATAGCATGTCTCCTAATGTAACAGAAAATAAACATTAGTGCATAATAAAGGGAAAAGTGCAGGTGGTAGTACCTTGTCTGGGAGCCTATCAAGAACTCGTTGAAGTTCTTCACAAAAACCACGGATACTGGATGTTGATCCCATCAGCGTATCATTTTCCGGAAGGCAATCGGTTAGTTGCACCCACTGGTTGAGAATGTGTGCATATTCACGTTGACAGCAGAAGAGGTTGCAGAAGGAATTATACCAGAAAGCCACCTCTGTTTCTAGCTGAGATATGGCATGTTGATGGGAGTCAGTTGTCGGATCAGTGCCTAGATGGTTATCAAGAAGATTGGCCTGTTGAGAAACATGGTTTTGCACTTGATGACATTCGTACATTGTTTGCCACATCTTCAAAAGGCTTCAAAAGAGGGCAAATCAAATATCAAAATCATACGAGTAGATAACTAGTAATCAAGATGGTACCTAAGCAGAAACCAAGGATAAAGGAGTTTGATTATTTATTTAGCGAAAAGTCTGGTTGAAAGCTACTAATTGTTTTGCTATAAACTAGTCTTGTATAAGCATGCAATAAGCACCAGGATTTAAGTCAAACAAAGGGCACATTATTAACTTACCCAACAGAAAATTCAATTAACTGAGGAAGTAACTCTTCATCCCGGAGTTTTGATATTGACAAACATGTTCCATTGATTGACTCCTTCAAAGATATCATTTGGCACTGCAGTTCCTCTATGTCTGATCGAGTTTTCTCAGTTCTTGTGAAGTCATAGTCACCGGCTTCTAGCTTATGCAGTAGCAAGATTATCTTCTTATGCTGGGATTTAGCATTTTCCTGATCCTGCAATAAAGAAGGCCACTAGATAATAAGACAGTAACACTTGGCACCGAATTAATAATTAGGAACAAAGTAACATGTTTGTAAGGGATTTGTGTGTCTAACTTTAGCATCTGCATACTTTTCTTATAATGTTTACATTTGATAATTAGCCAAACTGTGTCCTAAGGGGACATAAAGGTTTGATTATGAGGTTTGGGCTACATAAGGTCCCTAGTCAGTCAATGTTAGGGCTAGTGATTTAAAAATGTGCTTGGGCGCTCGAGCAAGGTGAGGCAAGGCCTGAGTGCCTCGTTTACTATCCAAGCAGCGCGCTTCAAAGAGGCACCGCCTGGGCGTTTGCCCGAGCCCAGGCGCCGAGCACTTCAAGTGAGCACCCAGGTTAAATCAAGCGACCGAACCAGTGTGTTAGGTCTGGTTCGGTCACATTTGTGTTAGTTGGTTCAATCAAACCAACTAAAGCACCGATATCAGCCTCTCTCCGTTGCCCCTCACAACTTCCCCAACCCTAACCCGACTCCTGCCATTGATATTTTCTTTCTGTTGCCTCTCTCTGCTTCCACTGCTCGTCGCTACCACTATCGCTGCTCGTCACTGTCGTTGCTCTCAGTCAGCAGCCTCGGTTTCTTCTCTTCTCACACTCGACTCAGTATGCTGTTAACATTATACTATTAACAGTATTTTTTATTTATTAGATTAATAATATATTATTTTGATTTTAATACTGCTAATTTTATTTATTATTTTGAATTTTGAGACTTTTGTTAATGTGACATTGTGACTTTATACTTAAGATTTTCTTAATTTAATATCATATTTTTATTTAAATAATTATATTATATATTTTTTATATTTTAGCACATCGTTTCGCTCGGGCAAGCACCTAGCGCTTCGGGCATTCTGGAACCTTGGTGTCTTTTGGCACCTAGCACTTTTTAAATCACTAGTTAGGGCAAATAAGATCATAATACATGATTTACACACTGTTGTTAACATTTCCAATATTAGGAAATTAAGTACTATAGACTATAATGTTACTAGATTTTAGAATGTCACATAACTACACATTTCTGATTAATTCAACCCTCGTTAAAAATGAGATATATGTGTTTGCATATGTGGCCTTCAAAGAAAATGGAAGATAAACAGGATACTGCAACAAGACCATGGAAATTTATATCGACTTGTCGCTCAGTTAAAGCAATATAAAGCAATACTTGGCAAATGAGCATTTAACAGTTTTTTTCTTCACTTTTCCACAAAGAATGTAGAATAGAAGTAAGGTGCTTGCCATTGTAAATCTGGTAAAATTTGATCTTAATAGAGTGCTTACTTTCACTTGCTTGTAGAGCCTCTGCTCCTCAGCAAAAAGCTTTTCTAGTGTCGTGCAATGGTTACCATGCCTGCTAGCATTAATTGCATCTTGAGCATCCTTGTTAGAATGAGAAGATCTGAAAGACCAGCTCCATGTCAATGCATTTACAACCTTGGCCGACTTGGAACTCTTCCCTGAAGAATAGAAATTATCATACCAAGTAGTTGAAAGAAAAGACAGCTACCAGATGAGCAATTGTCTTGGTAATTTTGGAAACTTGTTATCAGAAGCTTCTCTTATATGCATGCTAAGCAGCTCATTACCATCATCCTATATGACGAGACTGCCAATGCAGTTGTTAGATTGTGATCAAGTGATAGGGTGGGTAGAATTTTCTCAACCTGGTCAATAAGCAGCCTAGATATCACTAGAAAAACCTATATCCACAATTTACTATGTATGAGTAGGGTAGGCGAAGAAGCCAGCTCAGTTCAACATCGGTGTGGTGGTAAAAAACATGTACGGGCACACAAAGATCTAATTATACAAAAGTAAGGTCTAATTATCAAGTATGGTCTAATTTTGCAGTTTTAAATATTTGTCCTTTAATAATTCTTGTTGTTGAGTTAATGCTAGTTCTCGGTGAAGGTGCTAAGATAGGCGGCAGCAGATCTATCACTGTTACAACAGTAACTGTTCAGAGACACAAGATATCACAAAATGCAATCTAACACTTCTCCCTAGTATCGACAAGGTCAATAACTGAGGTGAACATAATATTATTGAGTGGTGCACAATAAAGCACCAGAAAAAGAAAATTGCACATTGACTAATCATTCAAGAACATTGACATCATAAAGCAAATGAGATGCAAATTATAGATTACCTTTCCTTGTTTCAGGATCCCAGGGATAACGGTAGCTGCGATTCGACTCAAGAAGAACTGCAACATCCTTTCCTCCAGCCGCAGCTTTCAAGAAATAATCATCCACCTCTCTTATAATCCCTGCCAATGTCTTCTTGCTCCTCCACACCACCATCCCCATGTCCGTGTCCTTGGTTAACCAACTTACTACCGAAGAGTTGTCGTCGGCCAATTCCTTAAGGGGGCATTTCTCTCTCGCCCGATCCACTGTCACAGCAAAATCTTCCTTTCTTTGGATCACCTTCTCTTCTTCCTCTTCTTCCTCCTCCTCCTCCTCAAACTCGGACTTAGTCTCTGCCCAATCCTCTTCGTCCACTGCAACCTGCGAGACGGCTCCTTGTTCCCTTTGAGGCACTGGAGATGAAGAACTCGAAGAAGCCGGAGGGACAAACGGATCCCAGAAGTCCCAGACTGATCCAGGGACGGGAGGGCGAGGCGTCCCGCAGCTCCCGTTGTCATCCACATCATTCGGATCCTCGACAGAAACCTTCTTCTCCATCGCCTCCTTCGTGGCAATGGGACTAAAGTTGGGACGGGGCGGCGGCGAGAGCGGCAGAGGGGGCGGCGAGAGCGGCAGAGGGGGCGGCGGCGAGGGTGGCAGAGGCGGCGGTGGGGGGGGAGAGGGAGGCAACGTGAGGCGGAGAGGGGGGGCGTCACCCAGGATCATCGTCTCGACTTCGGTGAACTGCAAAAGGGTGGCGCCAGTGTTCCTCAAGGACTTGAGGTACGCCATGTGAGCGGCGGCGAGCTCAGCCCGGCAGCTCAGAAGCTGCTTCATGAGCCTCCGCCGCTCCTTGCACCGCCACACCACCTCGTCCACCTCCACCCTCGAGTACGTGCACCCCATTCCGCCGTTCAAAGAAACAACAACAAGGAAAAGGCGATCTTGGTCGGGATTTATCGATCTAAATCAGCGGAAAACAGCTTCGAAATCCACAAAAATCGAAAACTTAATGGACAAAACACGTGGAAAACGATTTGTCGCTCCCGACTCAGGGAAATCAAATTTATCTACTTTTCCCTCCAGGATAAAAGTGAAAGCCTCTCTGAGAGGAGGAAGGCTTCCGCTCAAAAGCTAAGTGGAGTTGAAACAAGACCAAAGAGAGTGAGAGAGAGAGAGAGAGCGCCTTAAAGGTGGGATTTTTAGGAACTCGAAGAGGGGTTTTGTTTCAATAAAAAAGAGCCAGGAGAGGGAAGAGACCAGAGCTTGGAAGCTTCATCAAGGTGGTATTTTTTTTAGGTGAAAGAGAGAAAAGGTTCCCACCGCGATACAGTTGGGGTTCGAGGAGAGAGAGAGGAAAGGATGCGAGGAATGTGAAGCACAACTGTTTGGGCGAGTGTTGGGTCGGGACGACAGAACGGTGGCTCCCCTCCTGTCACCTGCACCTCCCTGTCTCCTCCTCTTCGGCTCGCCTTTCTCCACCACCCTTTAGCTGTGTCCGTGTGTCTGCGTCCGATAGAGAAGTAGTGGGGTCTTCGGTGTTATCCATCCACGTTAAAAGCAGAGAAGCAGAGGAAAACATTATATTATCGGAGAACGACAGGAACTAACAATAAAGAAATGGAGACGATGATTCCTTCCCCTTGTACCACTGACGGAGGACGCCATGGACAAGCAAGCCTGCAGAGCAAATAGCTATTGGATTTTGCACTGCCGCATCCAACAAGAAGAGACCATCCATTGATGTAAATACAGCAGTCAACTTGAAGAAATAAAACAAGTTTAATCACCATATCAAACAAGACATGCATGCTTCATAGGCTGATAGATTTACCGCGATGCTATCGAGTTACACAATGTTTGAGATGATGGAATTTGGTGTTCTTGTAAGCTCAAACATCAAACCACTCTCATCGATTGTTCTAAACATGATGAGGATGACATTTGGTGAACGCCTTCGGTATTACTGTAACTTCATTTCTTATGAAGGGGAAACATGTGGCATCAACAAGCGAAAGCGATGTTGCATTGGATTTCCACTAAAACGACTCCATCAAAAAGCTGCTCCTAACAATTTGCTGAACGAAAAAGATGCACTTGTGAGCTTTAATTATTTAGCTTATCACCATAACCATCTACCGATGAGTTGCTGGAATAACCTGAATGGAAGAAAAGGAGGATAATTCGCATGGAAATGATATCAAAACTCAAGAAAAAGACTAAATATCCATCGTAATTATACACATAAAAAAAAGAATTTTCATGATTATGAGTGCCGAAAGCTGACAGAAACGGCGTTTGATGGGTGATGATGTGTTCTGTATGGTCATGCAATGAATGCATGGTTGCTCAGAATCTGTAGCTGTTTCCGATCCTTTGAGGTCGAGCTTTGCAGGCTCGTAGGCCAATCCCATCCCCATCCCCATCCCCGACGAAACATCTACTGTTGTGGCAGGCACCGAATGAATGCCTTCACATGATGACCGTGCCTCGTCTGCGTCTTGATCCCTCGTTGAAGCCTTCCCACCGTGGCGGATGGGCCCATCATCCTACGTGTCTCCCAATAATTGCATCATTATGTTATATATATATATATATATATATATATATATATTAATGTC